CGACACGTACGACACACGCACACACAACAACAAAATATATATATATATATATATATATATATATAATATATATATATATATATAATTATATACATATACATATAATATGGATGCGTACGTGCGTGTGCGCGTTGCACGCATGTATTACGCATGAGCACGCGGGTACACGGTAACTCCCGGTTATGACAACACGTCTTTAACTCGCGTGACACCGCCTCCGTCACGAGACAAGCGGACAAAAGGCCTCTCCTGTCACCAGGAGCCCGCGGGCTTTCACCCTGACGGAGCAGCAGTGGATGGTCTAGGTGATGAATGATTAAAGCTGATTAACTGGATTCGCACGCAACAGCTTTTGTACATCGATATCGTATTATAGACGGACGACAACGAAATTGTACGTAGCTTCATCCGTGAATAACACGCGTGTCAAGGATATGGTAATGTCTTCCGGTATCAATGTATGTCAAGTGGTGACTGGTTGGTACACATGTACTTATAATATAACATATATAAATATATATATATATATATATTTATATACATATTTCTATATATGATATATATAACTAAATATAACATATATACGTTGATCCATGTACATCAGGAGTAGATAATAGGGAATCCCTATTATCTACTCCTAATGTACGATATACACCTACTGGTGCAAAATCCATATTCTGTGGTGCTGCAAATGCCAACACTATGGTAATTAATAAACGTGTTTGTAAATATACGTAAACGTCCGAACCAGCATATCGACTAATTATTCGTCTTGATTACGTAATATAGTTTATTTATTACAAAGATATTATAGATTGACAACTATAGTAATACAGCTAAATATATACGCAGATTTGAGTCAGACTCTGCATCGTTTTACGGTAAATTAGTATTTTAAATGCATGAAAATAAATGTTTTATTACTTGAACTGAGTGTTTCATTGTAGTATTATAGACTAATACTTATAGACTAATGCCATGTTGCAAAATTTAATGAAAAAGTATTTTGGAGGATGCGGGTATCGATCCCGCTACCTCTCGCATGCTAAGCGAGCGCTCTCCCATTTGAGCTAATCCCCCTTCGCTGTATAACACTGCACGACCGCTCAGATGGTGTTCTTTGGCGTGCTATTTTTAGCGTGTATTTCCGAAATTTTCGTTCATGACCCACATCTTCTAAGTAGGCAGGCTAGCACACACTACAGATAACTCATTGTTATATTTTACCAGCGCTTTCAGTTAAGTCATAGATGTACCGAAATTATATATTGTGTTTGTATATCTATTGTTAAGTTTAATGTATGATAGTAACATTCGTTGGGCACGCTTAACTCCAGTAGCAAAAGCGACTTCACCTAAAAGCGAGTAGCTATGTTGACCGAAGCCTGCAATAGAAATCAACACAACGCAGTTGTCGAGGCACTATAGCCTTCGCCAAATACATTTGCCGTTATTAATTCTTTTTTACATTTCATAAAATCTCTTGCAATAATTATTTATATAATAACCAGAGATATTAAAATGACCAAAAAACCGCTGCCCATAATAAATCATTTTCCATTGTTCGCGATGCGTTACATGGCGTACGTTATTTTATAACCAAACACTTCAAATGGTCACAGCTGGCATATTAGCATGGCCTAATGATATATTGGATAGTAGGATATATATATATATATATATATATATATATATATAGTATATTACTACTATATTACACTACGATAGCAGACAAAACACATGGTTTATGTTGCTAATAATTGCCCATTAAAACAGGCAGTGTCACAAATACGTCAAGGGGCTAAGATGACAGTGCCTCAGCTAAGATTAACACGTTTACGACCGCGCATACTCTTCATGTATCGCGTTGCGGAGGACGTTCAGAACTCGGGATGTTGCGGTTGCGGTGTTAAAACCTGTCGGCGTGCTGTCTGACTGTTCTAGATGAATATTTTATGTTGTCTGTTTACGATTAGAAAATAAAAACGAACAGCAAATATTTAAATAATCAGTCGGTTAATTATAACCGTAAGCGTTCTTATAATGTGATGTGGTTTAAAACCAATGCGCTATTACTTATTATGTAATGTTAAGTATTTTATCAGCTTCAGTACTTGACACTTGGCGCTAATTGTGATTTTATTATATGTCTATTTACATAAACGGTCTGGCATAACCTGTTTTGATGCCTTTCCACGATATTTTTTTTGCCGAACAAATTACCAGATGTTATTTAAAATGTTAAGGATAATTATATTTAATGCAAGGCGATAATGATGCGTATATCACGGGATATGTAATGTTATTCAGGAAAGACTTTTCAATTGCCCAATGTTCTATTTAATAGTATGTTACTGCTAGGAGGGTTGATTATTATATATATATCAGGAGGTAATAATGACAATACGTCATTGTCATTATCATATTTCATTATATTTCATATTTCATATTTCATTATATATCATGTCATTATCATTATTCATTGTCATTCGACATCGACATTTTGTCTTATCACGCTCCATGAAGTATATTATATATATATATATATTAAATACGCTCTCTTCGTCCTCTTTGCCGATGGTTGCGAATTAAGTTAAACAATATGAGATTTTTTTAGTTACATTATTTGTTCGCTAAACGCTGTTCAGTTGGTAAACGTCCGTGCATGCATGCCCGTATCGCCGAGTATGTCTCGCTTCAGGCGCCGACTCCAAAACCGACCCGCCTATTAATAAATTAATAGTTCATTTGTCACGTTGCTCGGCACA